TGGCTAGGGCCAGACGGAATTTGCGGACGTTTTTTGCTATTTCTGTGGAGAATTTTGGTAAAAAATCTGCGGATTTCTGCGGAATTACTTTGGGAGTATCCAGTGGAGTATCATAACTAAAACCTTAATATATTAAATAAAAAGATATAAATTACTGAATAAAAACTGAATAAATTCAGATTTACACATTTACTCAAGTAAATAAACAGAATTAATAATGGGCTAAAAATCTGCGGAATTCTGCGGAAAATCTGCAAAATTCTGCGCGCGCAGATTCCGTGTGGGCCTACACATGGCTTTAACACTACCGGAAGACAGCAGACTAGCCTTCACTGTAAACAACAGCATGGACACAGAAATGGGAGCGCTGTTTGCACTATTGTCTGTTTTAGCCGCCATTGTGCAGCTATTTATTTGTTACATTTAGTAATAACTCGACCTCGTCGTCTGTCCACAAAAATACCTCTCTTGCTTTCTTTGCCATCGCGTTAATTGTTCAACCGGCGTTTGTTGACTCAAATGCAGAGCGAGACGCATGCTTCCTGTTAATACTAGAACGCGCATACCCAGAGTGCATGAATGGTCACGTAATATACGTTTTTGGTGGCGTAGTGTGGATGGAGATATGTTCAGAATCACTAGGTGAAACGCTCGTGTGGACGCGGATCGTTTTTGATCTAAAACGCACTAGTGTAAATTGGGCCTAAATATCATTGAGAACTGTGGCCTGAAGATAAATATACCAAAGTATTTTACATTAAAGTTGCCATGGTTAATTTCCTAATTCATTTACCAATATTAAAATGCCTCACAGCAAGAAGGTCACTGGTTTGAGCCCCTGCTGGGTCAGTTGGCATTTCTGTGTGGAGTTGGCATGTTCCCCCCTTGTTCATGTGGGTTTCCTCTTAACTTTTTCAAATGAAGGGCCAAATATCATCGAGAGCTATGAGCCGAAGATAAATATACCAAAGTATTCGACATTAAAGCCATGGTTAATTTCCGAATTAATTTCATAATATAAGAAAATGAATGTCCAACATTACTTTGAATCGTATTAATAACTTTTTAAATTATAACTTTAATCACAATAGGCTTTTTTCACGGACGTTCGCACGCGCATGCAGATACTCACGAATGGATGTCAACAAATGTATATTAAGTAATGTAGGATACGAATCTTAAAAACAATACATCGAATAAAAAACACATACAAACAATTGCAGACTTATTTCAGCAGCATTAACATGTTATACATTTACACAGTGCATGAGTCAAATGAAGCATGTTGCCCTCCCTTAAGATATTCATTCATGTACGTACAGAAATAGTCAAGATCCAGGTTCCCTCTCATCAAATATTTATTACATCGCATATTTATTATAAATTTTATACATGTATTTAAACGTGTATTATTGCATACGTTAGCTCACTTATATCTCTTAACAGCTTAAAACTAGGAGCATACGCTATGACATTTTTATCGCACAAATGTAAATAGCCTTTCCTAAACCTTGCTAACGAATGGATCGTCACCCACCTTCGTAAATAAATGCCATTTTTGTGGAAAAACTTATATCCTTTATTAAGTTTAGAGTGTAAGGCGATAGAATGTCAGTCCACAAGACAATAAACGTCCACTGTAAATGGTACATTTTGGCAAAGTTTTCAGAGAGGTGTGAAAACTCTAGCGTATCTGACTCCATTGCTTCAGACGGAAGTATGGATACGCAACAATCGCTCAACTGGATGTGCGTGCGACCGTTTGTGAAAAAAGCCTATCACATTTATCATGTAAATGGCCTTCAATGCTTTATAAACTAGTCAAGCAGAATCTGCACTTGCTTTGATTTGCACACCAAACTCTACATTGTCCTCTATCCATCAAGTGACAGTGTGTTCATTTTCATTTAAATCTGATTAATTTACACCATTTGATTTGAAAAAATTGATTTTTGGTTTGATTTTTTGCAGCTTAACCATAAAACAAACAAAACATTACATTTGAAATGACAATTTCCAATCATCTCCATCATTCTCCCTCTCTTCTCAGAAGGAATGAGGGGACGACAAGAAAATGAATGAATTAATAAAATAGGTAGAAAAATAGGCCACTATGGAATTTCACATTATAGAGCAGGGTTCACCAATCTCGTTCCTGGAGGTCTGGTGCCCTGCAGGGTTTAGCTCCAACCTGCCTCAACACACCTGCCTGAGTTTTTCAAGTATTCACCTTATTCTCCGCCGACGAGCAGGCGCTGCCATTTGAATCTTTTTGGCTTGAGACTTCCGGTCTCATTCACTTCCATTCATTTTTTGACGTTAAATACTGCTCGTTACGCTGCTTGATGTTGCAATTTGATATTTTCTTATTATATTATTCTACTTGGTCTGTAAAGTCATGCAAACATTTGTTTGTAGAGCAAGTTTGACCGTTTTCTGCTGTTTATTTTTCATAGTTATTTCTCTCATAGGGGACTGAATCGGAAGTTCTAAGACAATCGCGAAAATAAGCGCACTTCCGCATTTGAGAATAAGGTCAATACCTAGTAAAACCTTGATTAGCTTGTTCAGGTGTGTTTGGTTAGGGTTGGAGCTAAAATGTGCAGGACACTGGACCTCCAGCAACAAGTTTGGTGATCCCTGTTATAGAGCACGGAAGAGCCAGGATAAAAATTAAAACCAGTCCAACTTTGTTCATCTGATAGGAGAAAGTCAAATACACCTTTTTGTAAAATGAGCTCAAACAACACAATTCTTGAGTTTTTTTTTTTTTTTTTTTTTTTGGAACACTTTAAAAACTAATAAGTTAACTTAATTCTCTCATGATTTCCTAACACAAATCAATTGTGTGGAACCCAACCTTTTTTAAAATGTGAACTTTTCAACAAACTGCATTTGGCTTAATATAATAACTTTAATATAATTAATAATAATAATAATTATTATGTAATAATAATAATGATAATAATAATAATAATAATAATAATGATAATAATAATAATAATAATCCCTGTAATACCTGCAAAAACATGAAACATGTCCTAAACAAATTACATTCAAATAAATGTCAAATACAGCTCTTCTTCACAAGAGTCCGGCTCACTGTCCTCTTCATCTAAAGAAGCTGCCTTGAAGACTGTGTGCTGATTGAAGGATCTCCCTCACGTTTCTGATCTCCACATTCTGGCTGCTGAAAAAGGGATCTAATTGAATTCCCCAAACGGATGTGATGCTCTCTGAGTAAAAGAGCGGGCCTCATTATTTCTCAAGAGGACGGCCTTTGTGGTGCTCATCTACGAAGGTACATGTCCTGAGTACACACTTCACTGACGTCCATATACTTCCGGCCCTCTCTCTAGCAACACCAGCCTGGCAAAAAAAAAAGATCAACCAACAGCTGGATGTACCCTGAGCTGAGAAAAGGTGTCTTGTAATATATATGATTATAGGTGTTTTTAGAGTGTTGATGGTGTTATAGATTTAAAAACAAGCATACTTTAGGACAGTGATTCAGTGATTTTCTTAATTTTTTGAAACATCCTAAAGCAGTGTTTCTCAACCATGTTCCTGGAGGACCACCAACACTGCATGTTTTTTTTTGTCTCCTTTGTCTGCCACAGCCATCACAGGTCTTTCAGTCTCCACTAATGAGCTGATGATCTGAATCAGGTGTGTTTGGTTTAGGAGACATGAAAAATGTGCAGAGCTGGTGGTCCTCCAGGAACGCGGTTGAGAAAAACTGCTTTAGGATGTTTCAAAAAATTAAGTTAATAACAGTTATTACGAAAATGATGGTATTTTATGATTGCTGTTAGGCGTAATGAGTTTCCAATCAGCTATAATTGTAATTAAGTGTTTATCTATTGAAAGATAAAAGTAAGAGATTAGTTCATTTAAGTAGCTTTTTATATGGCTATAATAAATTCTACAGTTTTGTATATATTCATTTTGAATTTCATAGTAAGTATTTATTATTATATTATTATTTGTATTAGTATTATTCAGATGCTGAAATATTTTGACTATATATATATATATATATATATATATATATATATATATATATATATATATATATATATATATATATATATATATAATGAATTAAATATAATACTAAATTCTTGAAAATGTTTTCTGTTTTGTTACATTTATTGTTTAAGTAAAACTAGTTAATAAACTGTTATTAAACTTGTTCTATTAATGTACATTCAATGTACATTTTTAATTTTTGTTAGTTATCGTTAATGTTTTTTGAAATATGGTTAAAGTGTACAGAATACTTAAAATGCTACAATAATTAAACATTATCATATCAAAACTGTAATTAAAACTGTTTAAGTGTGCTTTGTATTATTTTCAAGTATTTAAAAGTCTACTTTTAAGACGTAATGCACACTGAAATGCACATTCAATTGAAATGATCTTTTTTATTGCATTTTACATTAGTTTTATTTTAGTTAATTGGTTTTCTGCTGCTTATTTGCGCAACTATTTACTTATTTTTAGAATTATTTATTTTATTATTTAGAAGTGTTACACTTTTAAAAAATGAATAAAGTTTGAATAGGCACTGTTGCATTTGTGTCAGCATCAGTTTCCTCATCAGATCTGATAATAAAGGCCCTGCAGTGCTCATGCTGAGCTGCTGGTTTGTGTTGTTGTGGTCCAGGGTCTCTGTGGGGGAAGGGACAGAGTTGAATGGCCCAACGGGCCTCCCCCCTCACACTCACTAAACAAGGGACAAAAGTGTGAAGGTTGCTGGCTATTGTAGTTCTGTAACTTAGCTAAATTTTACAGTTTTAACAAACACACAGCATATTTAAAAATAAACATAGTTAGTGTAGCGTCCGAGAATTCCATGAAGCTCAGATTAAATATTTGGTATATTTATTGGACATTATCCATAAATATTTCCAACCCACAAACTTAAAAGAACTACAAGTTCCATTAAGCTGCCTATGTGTCTGCGCATGCGCGGTCGACTCGAACGTGTGAATCTGATAGCCATGAATGGGGTGGTGGAGTCGCGGGTCTGTGGATTGTATCCAGGTTGTAAAATTAATCTTTATTCTCCATTGGAGTTGTTTCTGTCTTAACTTTCAGCATTCGACTGGTTCCAATGCGTCACGTGAGGCGATATCGTCCGTCGTAACCGCTCCTTTGGCAGTCTTCGCGTGACTCGAAGCAAATCACAGTTCCGCTTGTTTCCTCGCATTAACCATGCCGAGGAACAACAAGACCTCGCTCATCCAGAAAATAGCGAGCCAGGCTTATGCGACTTTCACAAACTGCTCTTCCTCCGCCATTGAGGATAATAATAAGGTGTTTTTAGAGCACCAGGCAGACTTGGTCGCCCTGCTCTCCGACATCAGGGCTGCGGATCTGAAGATTGCGCCACCAAAGAAAGTCTCCACATCCTCCCCTTCGGTCCCTCCAGTCACTTACATGCACATCTGCGAGACTGATGTGTTCAGCATGGGGGTGTTTCTCCTGAAATCTGGCGCTTCCATCCCTCTGCACGACCATCCCGGGATGCACGGCATGCTGAAGGTCCTGTACGGTAAAGTCAGCATCAGGTGTTATGACAAGTTGGATAAAGCCGAGAGTGACACTGAGAGGCACTTTGATCCTCCATTGTTGGCTTTCCAGGGAGATGATGTGAGGAGAGCAGCGCTGAGGTCTTCGGGGCAGTTTTCGGAACTAAGTGGCCCTTGTGTTTTGAGCCCTTTTAAAGACAACCTTCATGAGATTGACGCAGTGGATGGAGCGGCTGCGTTTCTTGATATACTGGCACCGCCGTATGACCCTGACGATGGACGGGATTGTCACTACTACAGAGTTTTACAGACTGCTGGGAAAAAGTCAGAGCAGAGCGGTGATGATGAGGCTTGGCTTTTAGAGATCCCCCAGCCGGATGATTTCTGGTGTGGGGGTGAGCCGTACCCTGGTCCTGAAGTGACTATTTAGACAATAAAGGGATGGTTCAACCTTAAATGAAAATTCTGTCATAATTTGTTCATTATTTGCTTGTTTCAAGCCTATACGAGGTTCTTTTTTTCTGTTGAACACAAGAGAAGATATTTCGAAAAATGTTGGAAAGATCATTGACTTCAGTAGTATTGACTATGAAATGAAATGGCTTTCATCATTCTTTCTTATTATTTGTTCATAGTTTTAATTGTTTCATATTTTAATATTATTTTATCATTATTTAAATGTTTATAATTGTTTATATATATTTTTTTTTATCTTGTTCAACCGATGAAAGCATTTCATAAAGATTTGAAACAAAAGTAAAGTGTGAGTAAACTATCATTTTTGGGTGAACTATGCCTTTAACACTGGAATGGACTTCTGATCCGTCCTTAAAGTTGTTTTGTTTATATATTTTTTCCTCTTGAGACTGCAAACTCTACATTTCTACATCCAATCCAAGCCTGTGCGACCCATAGGCTTCATCAACACTTTGTGGCCTTACGTGTGAATGAATGTATACATGTCTAAAAGAAAAGCATTTACTCTTGTATAAGTGCACCATATAAAATCTTGCTTAATTTATTTTAAAAGACTCTACACAAACACTAATTCTTATGTACTGTTTATATTTTTTACCTATGAAGTATATTAAAATGTATTTAAATCATTTGACTTTGTCTTATGTTCAAGAAAATCTCCAAGGTTAGATTTAAATTGTTTGCTTAATGTCAATGTCACACTTGCATACATGAAAACAGTGATAATGAACAGTTATTATTACACTGTTATACGTATATGGTCAATAAGGCATGACAACATAGATTGTTTCGTTATTTGTAACCTATTAAACTAAGTTAATAATGTTCCAACTTTATTTTATGAGTTACTCAAGCTGTTTTAGGTCAGTTTAATATAAAAAAGTTCATATGACTCGAGGTTAATTTGATTAAGTTTACAAATCAGTGTAGACATAACTGTTATCCACTACATATGAGGAACATTTATTAAAGGAAAGCAGAAATCTAAAAATTCTAGTCTTATCTTAAAAGGGGTAGTTCACACAAAATGTTAAATTCTGTCATCATTTGTTCGTCCTTTACTTGTTTCATGCCTATATGAGGTTCTTTTTCTGTTTTTCACACAAGAAGATATTTTGAAAAATGTTGGAAAGCTGTAACCGTTAGCTTCAGTATTTATGGAAGTCAATGGTTTTCATCTTTCTTCAAAATTTATCCTCATTTGTTCAACCAAAGAAAGAAACTCATGAAGGATTTGAAACTTGAGAGAAGGTAAATAGAGACTAAAATGTTCATTTTAGGGTGAACTATGCCTTTAACACTGGAATGGACTTCTGATCCGTCCTTAAAGTTTTTTTGTTTATATATTTTTTCCTCTTGAGACTGCAAACACTACGTTTCTACATCCAATCCAAGCCTGTGCGCCCCATAGGCTTCATCAACACTTTGTGGCCTTACGTGTGAATGAATGTATACATGTCTAAAAGAAAAGCATTTACTCTTGTATAAGTGCACCATATAAAATCTTGCTTAATTTATTTTAAAAGACTCTACACAAACACTAATTCTTATGTACTGTTTATATTTTTTACCTATGAAGTATATTAAAATGTATTTAAATCATTTGACTTTGTCTTATGTTCAAGAAAATCTCCAAGGTTAGATTTAAATTGATTGCTTAATGTCAATTTCATACTTGCATCCATGAAAACAGTGATAATGAACAGTTATTATTACACTGTTATACGTATATGGTCAATAAGGCATGACAACATAGATTGTTTCGTTATTTGTAACCTATTAAACTAAGTTAATAATGTTCCAACTTTATTTTATGAGTTACTCAAGCTGTTTTAGGTCAGTTTAATATAATAAAAGTTCATATGACTCAAGGTTAATTTGATTAAGTTTACAAATCAGTGTAGACATAACTGTTATCCACTACATATGAGGAACATTTATTAAAGGAAAGCAGAAATCTAAAAATTCTAGTCTTATCTTAAAAGGGGTAGTTCACACAAAATGTTAAATTCTGTCATCATTTGTTCGTCCTTTACTTGTTTCATGCCTATATGAAGCTCTTTTTCTGTTTTTCACACAAGAAGATATTTTGAAAAATGTTGGAAAGCTGTAACCGTTAGCTTCAGTATTTATGGAAGTCAATGGTTTTCATCTTTCTTCAAAATTTATCCTCATTTGTTCAACCAAAGAAAGAAACTCATGAAGGATTTGAAACTTGAGAGAAGGTAAATAGAGACTAAAATGTTCATTTTAGGGTGAACTATGCCTTTAACACTGGAATGGACTTCTGATCCGTCCTTAAAGTTGTTTTGTTTATATATTGTTTTCCTCTTGAGACTGCAAACGCTACATTTTTACGTCCATTCCAAGCCTATGCGACCCATAGGCTTCATCAACACTTTGTGGCCTTGCGTGTGAATGATGAATGTATACATGTCTAAAAAAAAAAGCATTTACTCTTGTATAAGTGCACCATATAAAATCTTGCTTAATTTATTTTAAAAGACTCTACACAAACACTAATTCTTATGTACTGTTTATATTTTTTACCTATGAAGTATATTAAAATGTATTTAAATCATTTGACTTTGTCTTATGTTCAAGAAAATCTCCAAGGTTAGATTTAAATTGTTTGCTTAATGTCAATTTCAGACTTGCATCCATGAAAACAGTGACAATGAACAGTTATTATTACACTGTTATACGTATATGGTCAATAAGGCATGACAACATAGATTGTTTCGTTATTTGTAACCTATTAAACTAAGTTAATAATGTTCCAACTTAATTTTATGAGTTACTCAAGCTGTTTTAGGTCAGTTTAATATAATAAAAGTTCATATGACTCAAGGTTAATTTGATTAAGTTTACAAATCAGTGTAGACATAACTGTTATCCACTACATATGAGGAACATTTATTAAAGGAAAGCGGAAATCGAAAAATTCTAGTCTTATCTTAAAAGGGGTAGTTCACACAAAATGTTAAATTCTGTCATCATTTGTTCGTCCTTTACTTGTTTCATGCCTATATGAGGTTCTTTTTCTGTTTTTCACACAAGAAGATATTTTGAAAAATGTTGGAAAGCTGTAACCGTTAGCTTCAGTATTTATGGAAGTCAATGGTTTTCATCTTTCTTCAAAATTTATCCTCATTTGTTCAACCAAAGAAAGAAACTCATGAAGGATTTGAAACTTGAGAGAAGGTAAATAGAGACTAAAATGTTCATTTTAGGGTGAACTATGCCTGTAACACTGGAATGGACTTCTGATCCGTCCTTAAAGTTGTTTTGTTTATATATTGTTTTCCTCTTGAGACTGCAAACGCTACATTTTTACGTCCATTCCAAGCCTATGCAAACCATTGGCTTCATCAACACTTTGTGGCCTTGCGTGTGAATGATGAATGTATACATGTCTAAAAGAAAAGCATTTACTCTTGTATAAGTGCACTCCATATATCTATACTAAAATCTTGCTTAATTTATTTTAAAAGACTCTACACAAACACTAATTCTTATGTACTGTTTATATTTTTTACCTATAAAGTATATTAAAATGTATTTAAATCAGTTGACTTTGTCTTATGTTCAAGAAAATCTCCAAGATTAGATTTAAATTGTTTGCTTAATGTCAATTTCATACTTGCATCCATGAAAACAGTGATAGTGAACAGTTATTATTACACTGTTATACGTATATGGTCAATAAGGCATGACAACATAGTTTAAAATGTAACAAATAACGAAAAAACTATCTTGTTCCAACTTTATTTTATGAGTTACTCAAGCTGTTTTAGGTCAGTTTGTTGTAATAAAAGTTCTTATGACTCAAGGTTAATTTGATTCAGCTTAAAGATTGTGTTATTTTGCAGTGTAGACATAACTGTTATCCACTACATATGAGGAACATTTATTAAAGGAAAGCGGAAATCTAAAAATTCTAGTCTTAAAGGGATAGTTCACCCAAAATGTTAAATTCTGTCATCATTTGTTCGTCCTTTACTTGTTTCAAGCCTATATGAGGCTTTTTTTCCTGTTTTTTACACAAGAAGATATTTTGAAAAATGTTGGAAAGCTGTAAGCGTTAGCTTCATATTTATGGAAGTCAATGGTTTTCATTTTTCTTCTAAATGTATCTTCATTTGTTCAACCAAATAAAGAAACTCATGAAGGATTTAAAACACTTAAGGGAATGTAAATAGAGAGTAAAATGTTCATTTTAGGGTGAACTATCCCTGTAACACTGGAATGGACTTCTGATCCGTCCTTAAAGTTGTTTTGTTTATATATATTTTTCCTCTTGAGACTGCTAACACTACATTTTTACGTCCATTCCAAGTCTGTGCGACCCATAGGCTTCATCAACACTTTGTTTGGCCTTGCGTGTCAACAATGAATGTATACATGTCTAAAAGAAAAGCATTTACTCTTGTATAAGTGCACCATATATAAAATCTTGCTTAATTTATTTTAAAAGACTCTACACAAACACTAATTCTTATGTACTGATTATATTTTTTACCTATAAAGTATATTAAAATGTATTTAAATCATTTGACTTTGTCTTATGTTCAAGAAAATCTACAAGAAAATTGTTTGCTTAATGTCAATGTCACACTTGCATACATGAAAACAGTGATAGTGAACAGTTATTATTTGTTATACGTATATGGTCAATAAGGCATGACCACTGTTTTTTTTTTTTTTTAAATTTGTAACATATTAAACTAAGTTAATCATGTTCCTGTAACTGTTATCCACTACATATGATGAACATTTATTAAAGGAAAGCAGAAATCTAAAAATTCTAGTCTTATCTTAAAGGGGTAGTTCACACAAAATTTAAAATTCTGTCATCATTTATTCGTCCCTTACTTTTTTTCAAGCCTATATGAAGCTCTTTTTCTGTTTTTCACACAAGAAGATATTTTGAAAAATGTTGGAAAGCTGTAACCGTTAGCTTCAGTATTTATGGAAGTCAATGGTTTTCATCTTTCTTCAAAATTTATCTTCATTTGTTCAACCAAAGAAAGAAACTCATGAAGGATTTAAAACACTTGAGAGAAGGTAAATAGAGACTAAAATGTTCATTTTAGGGTGAACTATCCCTGTAACACTGGAATGGACTTCTGATCCGTCGTTAAAGTTGTTTTGTTTATATATTGTTTTCCTCTTGAGACTGCAAACACAACGTTTTCATGTTTATTCCAAGCCTATGCGACCCATAGGTTTCATTAACACTTGCCCTGTGTGAATAGTGAATGTATACATGGCATAACTGTTATATGAGGAACATTTATTAAGAGGAAAGCAGAAATCTAAACATCTTAATCCTATATCTTAAAGACATTGCTTGCCCAAAACTGAAAATTCTGTCATCATTCATTTACCCTGTACTTCTTTAAAAACCTTCAAGTGTTTCTTGTTAAATACAAAAGAAGATATTTAGAAAAATGTTTAAGATTTAAACCCATTTACTTCACAGAAAAAAATATATATATTCAAAGATGAATCCTTGGATTGACTAAATTATTTTTAGGTTAAGACATTGTAAACAATTTATTTGGGCTGAATTTAAACAAATTAAGTTGAACGTTAGTAAATTTAATTAGTTTAAATTCAATCCATAGAAATTATTTGCAGCAATATTGTTTTTCAGTGTTCCTACTATAGTTTTATTAACAGTAGAAAGAAACTGAAGAAACTGAGGCTGAGTAAATAAGTGTTTTCTTTTGTGTGTGAACTATCCCTTTAAGTGGATCATTTACACCTCTGAGTTTTGCAATCACTAATTATAACGATTCAGTTCATTTGAAATATGTTACGCCTCAGACTTGTGTGAAATCCACTTTAAAGTTAGACTTTCAATGTGAGTGTTTACAGACATATTAATGTCTAGTGTGGCGTCAAATTTCCCACACATCTGTAAATATATGAATGTAATGTTAATGTAGGAGGCTGGCAAGTGTTTCATGCCTAGAAGTAAAGATAAGATTCTCTTATAAGGATTCTTAAATAATTTCTTATCATGCTTTCCTACATCCCCTCAGGGCCTTTTCAATACACCTGGATCTGCAAGCAGAGCGGGAAGTGCTCAAACGCTCCTCTGCTAGGCTCAGCTTTTGTTCAGTGCTGTTTTTTTGTCTGTGAAGTTTTAATATATAAAATCTATGTTTACAGTGCTCAGCATATATAAGTAGACCCCCCAAAAATCTCTCATTTAAATTAATGTTTTCTATAGGATGCTTTACAATATTATATTTGTGCATATGCATTAGTTTAGTCGATACTGAAGCCAAATTTGGAGCTAATCTAACAAAATAACTCACAATAAAAGTTTGAAAGTTAGTATCTCAAATTTAAAAAAAAACCTAAATATGATTTTCAAAAATAGCAAAAATCAAGAGAAAGAAAAAATATATACAATTTTGTTGAATTGTTGTGGTTTGTACTTTTTTTTTTGCAATATTTAGCTTGAATTTAATTGCATTATCTTTTTCTAACTATTTCAATTGTTTAGCGCCTAAAATATTATTTTAATAAATATATCTTTTTAATAAATCTGTTTTGATCAAATGAACATATATATATATCCATTTCAAATGAATATATATATATATATATATATATATATATATATATATATATATATATATATATATATATATATATATATATATATATATATATATTACCCATATTCACTGAGAAATGGATACAAATATTAATCTTTAAAATGGGGTACATTAAAATACATTAGCAAACCTGTTTAAAATATATGGTGTATACAAAGTTAGTAGTCCTTTGTAAAAGGAAGTTCCACTAAGAGTCATCTCTGGAACATTTCCACAAGAAGATGTTTAGATGATTGATTCTTTTTTTTTCAGGCTAAAAGATCCTTTAGGTAAACAGATATTGTTCTGTGGCAGAATGGTCAACAACCATCTTGAAGAGTAGAAACACTGAAGAATAAAAATTATAATTCAATATGCGTCTCCTTATCTGTCAATAATAGTGCATTCATTCATTCATTTTCCTTCAGCTTAGTCCCTTTATTCATCAGGGGTTGCCACGCAGCGGAATGAACCGCCAACTTATCCAGATGCCCTTCCAGCTGCAACCCACTGTAAAAATAATAGTGCATGCACAGTAAAAAATGCTGGGCTCTACACAATTGCTTCATGTTTGCTTCAACACAAACCAATTAACTGTTTTATTTTTAGGAATGTAGGATTGAACATAAAACAACTATGTTGTACCCAAAAAAATCCTAGGAATTGTTTCAACTCATTTTAAATAGGTAGTCTGAACAAGCACCAAGAGACATTTGTTTTGAATGTGGTGCGTATGTACAAGTCAAATTTGACATATTTCATTAATGCTTAGAGTTAATAACAAAGAAACTGCCGTTTAAAAAAAATAATTTATCTAATATTGAGCTATTTTTAATCACAATTCATTACATTGTACATGTTGTCATCATGTACATTTTATGAAGCTCAATATGGGGTTGTCCCAACTCTAAACGCGGGGGTTGGTAAACCTTCAACCACATAAAACCACAAAGACTCATACAGTGGCAACAATTATTTGTCAGTTATTTTTTCACACCTTATAGGCTACACTGTAAAGAGTGGTCATAATGTGTTGTAATTTTGTGTCAAATCAGTAAATCATAAAGTGAATCATTTTATGTTCATATATTGTTCCTAACTAACTCCGATTATTCATATTCCCCATCAAAAATGTTGCCTGAACAATAAGAGGGCTGTGAATATTCACACTCTTCCAGCATTTGTAAACAACATGTGTGGGCGCTGGACCTTACAATGAGTCAGAGCTCAGTGATGCCAAAACGGGAATGTCCCTTCAATTCTAATTCGCTTTTTCCCTTTATTTCCCCCCTTTTTAAAAAAATATGTAATAAAAATGAGTTGCAGACAGTTAAACAAGTTCACAATTCATGTGTTGTTTATTATTTTCAAGTTGACAAAGTAGGACATTATTGACCCGCGTTAGTCACTTCATAACAAATACATGTATAACAGTCCAAACAACCACAGAACAAACGATATAGTTCAGCTATATACATCCATGTTTAAGCACGACACAAAACAGTTTGTACAAAAATATATCTTCCAAAACTTTCATATTAAAGGCTAATGTACAATTTCATCCACGCCTCTCTGTACAAGATGAACGGACGAAAGGCACGACGATGGGAGAAAATAGTGATGTTAGACACCTCCTTGAAAGTTTAGTTTGTTTAAATTAACTTTTAAAAAAACGTAAGCACTCCACTTTCCAACTTTTAAAATCTAAGACACAATTCTCCCACGTGCTATCTAAGGTTATTTTATTATTATTATTAAATTAATTGGCCTAAATATTCAAACAAAGTGCGTTTGGGTCAGTCAGCATGCGACTGAGGCATTTAAAAACAACTTTGCATCACCTTTACTAAAAGTGTGCGCAAAGAAAGTGTCCATGTTTGGCACTGTGGTTTGATTTCACCTCATCAGTCCACCCAGTTTTAATAAAACACGAACGGTGCATTATTGTATTGCCTACATAGTGTTGGATATTGCACGGTCCAGTTGAAAGTTCACTGGTTTGAACTGGACGAGCAGATGCTCGTGGCGACGCCGCGCTCTGAGCTGGACACTCCTGTGGACGACGAGGAGGACTTTCGCTCTTTTTGTCGCAGGTGGATTTTGGTGTGTCTCTTTCTTTCGTCGCTCCTCGCGAACTTTCTCCCGCAAAAGTCGCAGGCGAACGGCTTTTCGCCGGTGTGCGTGCGAATGTGGGTCGTCAGGTGGTCGCTGCGACTAAAGTTCCTCATGCATATCCGACACTGGAAGGGTTTGTGGCCGGTGTGGATGCGGATGTGTCTGGTAAGTTCGTCCGAGCGCGAGAAGCGCCTGTCGCAGCCCTCCGCCGGACAGGGGTAGGGCCGCTCGTGCACGGGCGTCTTGCTGGGTCTGTTGGGGTATTTCCTTGGACGCAGGATTGGCCTGAGGGGCAAATTCTGCGGAGTGTAAGCTGTGGGTAGCCGGGGTCCGTCAGGCACTGGTCCCCCTAGCGTGAAGTTCCTGATAGTGTTCAGGGGGGTTAGAGGAGGCGGTAATTTGAAAGAGTCCAGCGGGCAGGAGAACGGTTTGCGGTCGGGCATCGACTGCATGTCCCTCTGGCACGGAGGTTGGAAAAAGCCGGCGTAGTCCGGGATTATAGGGAACAACCCAGAGTCGGCGTTTGGCTTTGGAGAGGAGTAGGATGGCGGAGGATATGAGATGGGACAGGTGGAGGTGGAAAGGAACGCAGACGGGTCTTGATAGACCTCTCCGCATCCAGAGTAGGGCGGCGGGGGGGAGTAGATGTGCTCCATGTCTGCTTGGTTCTGCGCCATGGTGCAGCTGAGAGTGCTGGAGAAGTGGCTGGGGGAGACTGAGGATGCAGGTGACGAGGATGCTGAGGATGGCTGGGTCATGCCCAGGATCCCCGCGCTCACGATGTTGATCACGCCCTCTGGGTTCCAGTTTCCCGGGTACTGGGAGTCGATGGAAAACTTTCCCATGTAGGTAAAAGTTTGGTTGCGAGGGCCAGCTGGTTGCGCGAAGCTGCTGGAGTAGGCTAAGTCGAGGGCGCGCTTCTCCGTGCTCATATCCCCGTTAATCAGGCCATCTGGAAGAGGGAAAAATGCACAGTTAGACACACACGAAAGAATGAATCATGAAAGAATGAATGAATCTTTAGTAAAATCTGTAAACATCTGACAACTGTAAAATAATGATGGACAACTTTTTTGCACTTGTCACTTTAATTTTAAAAAGCTATTCAACAAAAAGTGTCAGGGAGGAAAGTAATATAGTATTACAATCTTAAGTTCTTTTTTTACTCATTAATGAAAGTATGTCATGTTATTTTTGCTTTTTTACAGAGAAAGATAGGCTTAAATTTGGATGCATTACTTTTTTTGCCCAACACCGGCAACGAACTTCAGTTTACCCCTTTAAACATATAACACAGCAAACGCACGCTTTCAATGTTTTTAAACTACCAACATGAAATCATTAGCTCTCTAACGATATATAAACAGACAGCACGTGACTGAGACGCGCGCATCGTTCTTACCTCCTGCGTTTATCTGCTCGTAATGTCCTCCTAAATCGTTATATATAGTCACAGAGGCTGGCAGTGTTGTGGCAAGCTCGTCCACCGAATAGATGCTATCGGCAAGAGGGTGCACAAAGCCACCGAGACTCACAGGGGCTTTCTCCAAAGTTTTAGCTGTCATCGTGAAGTCCTAAGAAGCACTCGCTCGGATGTTCACAGAATGTGTTGTGTCTGTGCGAACGCGCGCACGAAGCGTTACATGTGGAAAGCTGTCAGTGATCAGTGAGTTTAGCGTTCACTGTGATGCCATCTGACGGCTCTGTGTTGCTGAATGACAGATCCTTGCGGAGCTGCTAGTGGTAGTATGTATTTATGGAGAGCCTATCAATGCGGTGACACGTCACTGACCATTTAAGGACTGGATGGCAAAAGAAAAGTAGCGCTGCGCGTTCTGATTGGTTGCGGGCACTGTGACGCGTTGAGGTAATACTTGTCAATGGAGAATCCTTTCTGTACGGGCGCTCGTGCATGAAAACCAACGAGCTGGGAGGGGAAATTAAAAAAGGCGCGTTGTTATATGTTTTAAATGATTTTAATCTGCAAGATAACACAAGCAATGCGTTTTTAGTGCTGAAAGATGCTGCATTTTAAATGAAAACGCTTCCGTTTTGATACAACATAACATTCTCAATCAGGAATTCCGGTTTATTTCAATGCCATACATGGTTTTATCCGGTAAACATCTACACCCCTTCGTCCATTTATGGAGCATATTCCGGAAATTGAGCATCGGAAACTAGCGAGTGTTGCCGAGCAAAGAGACGCGGCTCAGCAAGCATCAGAAAACCACAATCAAATGACGGAATTTCTACCTTTGCTTCAATGGCAGTCGGAAAGTGTGCTACATCTATTTGAATAGACCCCATGGTTTTGGAAAGAGGGAAACGTTTTTAGTAACTGTGTTACTATATATAGAAAACTACTGGAAAGTGTGTTTATTTGTTATTCTAAATTTAGACCAATATATTGTCATTTTATTATCCTCTAGTACATCATGTTAAATCGTCAATTCCGTACTGGATAGCTCAGAATACAGCACATTTTGCGCAAGGCTTTGAATTATTTTTAATTATTATTATTATAATTATTATTATATTAAAAACACAGAATTGCTTATTATAGTTTAATTAGTTAAGCATTTCTATCACTACTAAACTGCAGACCAAACAACTAAAACTTTCCAAATGTAAATGCCTGTATACGTAAATATAGAAATACTTTCCGCTGTGAGGTTTAAAGATGCGACCAAATAAAAAAGACGATAGAACTGAATTCCCCCCGTGGGTTTAGAAACTGCACTTAGTAAGATATACGGGGGAGGAGGGAACTTAGGTCGGAATTTGAGCCAATGATTTTATTTATTTTAGGTTGTGCATAATCAATTCACATTAAACGCATGTCCAAACTCACATCTCAGAGTGAAATATAATGCAAGAAAGTGAAAATAACCACAGTATTGCAATTATTATGTAATTATTGTAAAATAATACGTATTATTATTTCACAACATCACAATAAAAGGCTAGCCTGTTTTATTTAGGTGCGCCTTGGTGGACAAACTGTCACCTAATAGCTTATTCTACCTCATGTAATAATTTTTTACATTTTCATATAAGCCATTTGTGCTGTTGCCTTGACTAAATCCTCAGAAGTTCATAGAATAGGATGGAAAAATCACGTGTGTTATATTTTTCAAACTCCGCGCAACAGACTAGTCCGCTTTTGAGCGCGCGGCACGGTTGCCAGTGATTAGCCTAATAGTCAAGTCATAACTCAATTTTTGTACAAGTTATGACTGTTGGAATGCTCAAAATAGTGTGTTTTCAGGGCATACATTTTAATCTCTGGAAAAAAACTCTTCCATTGAACTTCCGACATCCCACACATCATAGACCGCCGGTATGACTGTGCGTAGATGGTCGCACAACTATAAAGACTTGACACCATTTAGCATACAGCCTTTAAAATATATAAAGCCCTGTTATCATCTAGACTTAATTCTCCAAAATAAGCCGGATTTCACAAGCATAGGCTGTGTTAATTCTATCCGTTTGCATTCCCTCACCTGCGTAATCCCCTTTTGTAGCTAAACATTTAAAAAATGAAAGCCTGATGGATTACAGATGGAATAATATAGCAGACACTAGAACTGTGCGCTGCTGTTTGTGGGGTGAGATCCTACATCTGAATACGCAAATTGATGTAGCGGGTTTAAAAATGTAAATAGTAAAGTCTATGTAAAATTATATTAGTTTAATTCAGTTAAACTGATTTAATATTATGCTGCCTGCAACTGTAAGTACGAATATACATACTGTAGATGTTCTGTTTTACATTTCGTGGGGTTTATTATTTCAGCCCTGCGTGGGTTTGTCATAGCCTATCATATGGACAGGGGGCAGTATATGTCCCGTTACCGCAGACTGACACTGCAAAATGCTTTGAGGTGTTTTTATTTGAGAGCTAAATCTTTGTATATTGTTATAAATGAGTGATATTAGATGTGGTTAAATAACCTCATCAGCATTTGGTCAGCATGTTAAATACGCTTTAAATATTATAGTGAAATTAGTTTTGTTTGGCACCAACAACTGTTTACATTTAATACTGGATTTTTAAATTAAATTCAGATTATAAAAACATTGTTTACACCAAGACAAACCAGTTCTTTGTCTGTTCAATAAAGAGGTACTTTGAGGAGCAATCTGTGGTTTATTTTTGGCATTGATTTGGAAACGTATTTTTCTAAATATATTTATGGATCGCCCCATCTTGATCTTATAAGTTTCAATTGTATTTGCGATTACACAACTCATAAAAAAATATAATTTTAAATGAGCACAAATTCTACTCTTTATAATGTGTATACTGTTAAAACATTTTCAACTCTTTTTCCAAGCATGAGAGGAACAATAAATATGATCATATCCTCTATATTTTCAATATCCAGTCATGACAGTATAAGCAATTTGTTTTATCCTGAACTTTTTGTCACACAGGGGCGGATTTAACTAATAATGAGCAAGGTAAGCAGCCGCTTAGGGCCCTATGAAATCTGAGGGCCCCCAAATACATGCCTAGAAGTATAAATGATACGTATAAATTATATATTACATTGTTTTTTTAATCATATTTTGTATAGTGAGGGTCTAAAATTTTTAGTTTTAACGTACTTATTACATCTGCGACTTCAATCTTGGAGCAGTCAAATCAATAAAGATTTAGTTTTAAAAATGAAATAGTTCATTTATTGTTTTTAGTTGTGAATTCATCCCAAGTAAAGAAATTGTTTTAAAAGTTTTACAAGGTGCTTTACATGTTATTAATTTTTGCATTAAGAAAAAAGACAAGGAGATCGAATGATACACAAAAGGTGCACTGTAAAAAAAAATCTAATTTTCACAACATGTTACTGTAACTTTTCACAGTAAAATACATTAGTATTACTTTACAGGATTTAACTGTAAAAGTTCACAGTAATGCGTTGCATTCAGAATTTTATTGTGAAATCAATCAAATTTGCATGATTACAGCAATTTACTGTAAAAATGGCTATATCTTTAAGATATATCTAGCTGCAGAACTGCATAACACAGCTTCAGGCACACACATTCTAGCACAAACGATTTAGGCAAACCATATATAGTAACTAACTCTTTAGCATTATCACCACCTATTGAATTTCGCAAATATGGTTTCCCATTTCAGTCATTTTATTATATCATAACGATTATTTTAACATCTCTGCAGTTTCTGAACTCAAATTATTTAAATAAAAGTAATTGGCTGAAGACACTTATGATTTAATCATGTGTCCACAAACACAAAGAAAACATAATAGACTGTAATTGTAGGATTATGTTTAATAAACTAATTCAGGATCTTAATATTATCATACCTGGTTAAAATCACTGTTGTAAAATATAAAAAGCAAACAATAATGTGTCACATTAAAATGAATTTCTATAGTTAATCATTCAAACAATATATATATATATATATATATATATATATATATATATATATATATATATATATATATATATATATATATATATATATATATTTATTAACTGGTTATCTTAACTGATTGTTTATCTGATTATAAACAACTATCTTTTACTAAACTGTCACAGCTGTTAGTATAATATATATATATATATATATATATATATATATATATATATATATATATATATATATATATTCTCGATCGCAATATCTGTGAAATAAAGTAAACACTATTGTTTATTGTGTACAATATTTATTAACCAAATCAAAATATATCGATGACGATGTCCAAGAAGACGTTAATAACTTTAACATTCGTCGTAACCATAAATAGTTTGCCGATTGTGTGTGCCTAAAACATGTGTCGTTCTGTGGGCCTGCAGCTGGATATTATTGATATCTTTTACATGTTAGTAATAGAAATTTAAACTCTTTTTATTTCATCCAACATAGACATTAATACATTAATGAACTTTCATGTTAGTTTTGGGATTTTTTTTTGATATTTATAAATAATAGAATGTTATTGCAGATTGGTTACATCTTCAAAAATAACTTGAAAGAAAATCATCCTTTATTAAAACGACATGTCATACTAAATATTCATTTTTGGGTGCACTGAACCTTTATTTAATTTTATAAGGTTAACATGGAAATATGAAATATTTTTTTATGAACAAAACGATGTGATAAACTGGAACAAAAGTCATTGATTCATACAATCAAACACTGTTAAACATCCAAAATGATTTCAAAGTCAGGGTGAATGTCAGAATGACTAGCTGAGGAAAGCCTGCTTTACAATAAAATATAGTTAAATCTACAAGATAACACTGTGAAATCACAGTCATGGACGTTACTTTCTACTGTGAAGTCACACGGTATGGCTGATGATTTAACGTAACAAAATCACAGTAAATTACTGTTAACTACCTCAGTAATTTGTTGTGAATTTACACACAGTATTTTACTGTAAAAGTAATGCAGTTATTATCTAGTAATTACTGTGAATTTAAGGTAATTTTTTTTACATTGTGCATTTTAGAACTTTGTTGTACCAAGGCATTGCTTATGGCCCCAAAATCACAAAACACCCCCCCCCCCCCTGTTGTCACATATACTCACTTATATCATACAATACATGGCTTTGGCATAGTTACAAGCCAACTTTCATTTCCAAATAAGTCTAATGATCCCTATTATTAAAAGAGAATTCTTCATATTTTGCTATTGCATATTTTTCCAGTTATCATATCTGT